TGTTAATAACTGGGTGTATGTTAAAGCAAGCAGTTGTTGTCCTATCTCGTGGCGTCTAAAGGCAATAGCAATCTTAACTAACATAAACTTGAAAAATATTGAAATTTATCCAATATTCGAGGAATTTTTGCGTAAAGGAAGTTATATATACCTGTTCGTTTGATGATAATTTCGGTTTTCAACAAATTTACCCCCAAAAAATAAATAACTCGCAATATAGAGCAGAATCGTTTAGGCTTCGATCTCCTTTGTAGATTCTAATCCCTTTAGCGTCTCACTTTCAGATCCTGTTAGTGCCGTGATCAGTCGTGTGTGAGAACGTCTTCATGTCACCTGGCCGAATGTGTTTTAGTGTTTACTCAGATGATTTTTTTTGTGTGTGTGGAATAATTTAAATTAATTGTCAATATCAATAACGTATACTAGTCGTGTTGTTATTGATGATACGAGATAAATTAATTAATTAGTTACAGCACATTGTAATATAACTTGTATAAACAGATCATCATCACTACCATAATCACCACTATCACCACCACTAATATCACCATTACCACTATTACCACCAGTCACCAACCACCGCTACCACTACCACCAGTCACCAACCACCGCTACCATTACCACCAGTCACCAACCACCACCACCACAACCAGTAACCAACCACCACCACTAATACCAGTCATCAACCACCACCATCCACTACTATTACTACTACCACCACTACCACCAGTAACCAACCACCACCACCACCACTAATACCAGTCATCAACCACCACCACTACCACCAGTCAACCACCACCACTACCACCAGTCACCAACCACCGCTACCACCAGTCACCAACCACCACCACCACAACCAGTAACCAACCACCACCACCACCACTAATACCAGTCATCAATCACCACCACTACTACTACTACTACCACCGCTACCACCAGTCACCAACCACCACTACCACCACCAGTCACCATCTTCACCAAAACATTCACCCTCTTACCTCATAACCGTGACTTGCATCTCTCAACCATAGCCTCTTCCTCTTCCCTCACATCTCTCACTCTCCTTCCCTCTCTCTCACTCCCTTCCTCCCTCTCCTTCCCTCTCTCTCTCCCACACACAGTACTCCTCTCCCCTCGTCTATTTTTCTCTTCTGTATTTATTATTATTCCCACACCTCATTTTTACCTCTCCTTCCCTCTTCCTCTGTTTACATTTCCCTCCCTCGACTATGGCCCCCCCTTCCCCTCCCTCCCTCGACTATACCCTCCCTTCCCCTCCTTCCCTCTCTATTTCTCCTGGGCCACTCCAATTCCCAAGAGTACGAAATTGGTCACTCAACCAACCCCTCCCCGTCACTCAGCAGAGCCTCCCGGGTGTCTGAGTGACGGAAGAAATAGCGGGGTTACTCTATTAACTGGCCACTCATCTAGCCACCCTTTAGTCACTCAACCGTGTGAGTTACTCAAGGCCCTAAACCGTCACTCCATCATCCCCTTAGCGCTTAAAGTGATGGAGTGACGGTTGAGCTAGTGACGTTACTCTTATTAATCACTCATTATTTTCCCTCACCGACACTCACCAATACCCCTACGTGTGTGTGTGTGTGTGTGTGTGTGTGTGTGTGTGTGTGTATGTATGTGTGTGTGTATGTGTGTGTGAGGGACGGGCTAAACCTGGCTATTGGATGAGTGACGGGGGAAGTAAGTAGTGGCGGCCCTACATCAAGTGGTCACTCATCCACTCTCATGGACACTCAACACCGACAGAAATGCATTAACAAGATTATTACTTCATAACTATCACTCTGGTTACATGTATTACTGTACCTGTAACTTAATCTGTAGCTGTAACTCACTCTGTACCTGTAATTTTGTCTATCTGTAACTCAATTTGTACCTGTAACTCACTCTGCACCTGTAACTTTGTCTATCTGTAACTCAATTTATACCTGTTACTCACTCTGCACCTGTAATTTTGTTTACCTGTAATTCACTCTGTACCTGTAATTTTGTCTATACCTGTAACCTATGTATTCAATCACTGTATATTCCCTACATCTATCAGTAACTGTCTATATCAATCTGTCCAATTCTCTTCGCTATTATCTATTTCTGTCGGTCATCAATATTTAATCAGTGAAATCTAATCTCTTCCAGTCAAATAAATCATCATCAATTTTATTCCATCTGTGTTTATGTATACAAGTGTTGATATGTATCCAGTATCATCTATGTATAATTGCCTTTAGTCTACAACCTTCATCTATTTTTCTTTAGCCTCGAGTTCTTCCCTTCGTGTGTGTGTGTCAGGGAGCCACGGTGAGGTTGTGAGCCATCCCTTCCCCCTTCACTGCTGATTAAAATAAAAAATATCGGTCTTCCACAGGTATGCGTTTCTCCTCCTCCTCCTCCTGCTATCGTGTGAGCCTCCGTGTGTATGTGTATCCATCACCTGGCTGGCCCCCTCCATGTAAATATCAGCCTCAGGTGTGTATAGTCTCACGTTTAAGGCTCACCTACCTGATCTTCCCCATATTGACACTAACATTCCGGCCAGTGTTCCCCCCGGCTGCTCCTCCCAACACCCTGACAACAACTGTTCCTTGGTTACTTAGAGAAGGAAGACAATGACCTGTAACGCAGTCATCGGTGTTCTCATTAGTGAGTTGTCCAACACACTAAATATAATGTTCACCGGCAAGATGGCTGCTCTTGACAAGGTAGATTCTGCCTCACAAATTAACTGACAACCATCACTAACTGAGTAGATGAATAGTGAAGGATGACGCGGTGACCTTTCTATGCTGTGTGTGCGACACGGACGCCTCAGCCACCAGCACGACACGACACGAGAGGCAAATACCTTCCTCGGACTTTAAAACTGTACAGTGTCTCGGGCAAACTCTTGCCTAGAGTGGATGACTCGCTCAAGGATCTGTATTTAATTGATACTTTTCCTCGTGCTAATAAATGAGCTTCTTAAAATGATCCGTGTAAATAAGATTCCATCAAAATATGTTGTAAGATAAACTCACAACAGAATGTGGACACGTGCATGACAACATCTTGGTACACCGTGAGCACTGCGGCACAGATGGAAGGGCAGCAGCTGGGTAGGAGGACAACTACAGACCTAAAGTTTAAACAACACATTATAAGTCATTTCACTGCAACAAAAACAGTACCGCATGGTTTATCTTTTACCCAAGACGAGTTACTGCATAGTTGAAGGTTTCATGTTTACCTGCAGTACCGCACTGGGTGAGGCCAGGTGTGCACAACCACAAGGTCCTTGAAAACGTTCAGAGCCGCATCACTAGGCTGGTCCCCTCCCCCAGGCTGCCCTCTGGGGGGCGTCTCCAACTACTTAACATTCCAAAGATGTTTTTTATTATTATTAATATTACACCATTTATCAGCTTACTAACCGTTCGGTCGGTCGGTCTGTTCTTTGTTACCACCTCCAGTGTCCTGGAAATAAACAGCTGACAGCTTTGTCGACTATCCTTGGTCAAGTTGCCTTACTGTTTATTATTGTTGTTTACCTGCGCAGTCTCGGCCTACGTGTACCATATACAGTACAACACCTACATTGAGTATATTCACACTGAACTGTATAACTGTATAGTTTATAAACGTGCTCATCCAATTGAAATATTACCATAGCACTCGGAGAAAACCTTCTGTTTGATGGGTCACACCAGATAACACCCCTATCACATCTGACCCGGGCCAGGAATCGAACCCTGAACATTTAAATAACAGGCCACCGCTGTACCACAAACAGGAGACATCATAGTGACATAATTACGACGTTCAAGATTAAAAAATAAAAACAATTCAACACCCAAATTATTTTTACAGTAAAACAAACAGAGCCGAGAGGACGCCCAGAGCTGAGCCAAGACCTGTGTTACAACATTACAAAGCACTTCTTCACACACCATGGAGGCCGCGGTGGATCCTCAGTGTTATTGATTCAGCAACTGTGTAAAGCTTTGAGGAACGTTATGGTGTTCACAGGAGGGCGGTAGAACAGGAAGAACAAAATAACATCAATATAGGTGAGTAATGGAAACCTGAGCATAAATTCGTAACTGGATAAATTCGTAATTGGATAACGAAAACAAGATAATGTTCCTATTTTTTGTATGGAGAAATGGAAGACTTAAAAAATAGTATAGCTAACTATTCCCTAATTTACGGTACAGGAAATAGTAAAATGTCCCCACGCTGAAATACTCCAAAGATTAAAATATTCAAAGCAATTTGTGTGTGTGTGTGGGGGTCCTGTACTGGGCGTCTTGACATACTGTTTCTACTTGGTGTTCCCTCCCAGGCTGACCCCTCGGTGATAATGTACTGTATCATACTCAACAGCGTGGCAAGTACTCATAACACGCAAGGCAATAAAGTATGTGTTTAAGTACTTGATGACTCTGTACTCTTCAACACCCAATATAGTACTCAGTAGAGGGTAGAGTACGAACAACATCCTAAACAATAAATCGCAATACTGTGGTGATTCTTAAGGACTGGTGATACACATTCATCGTGTGTTGAGTGTTTTGGAGCGGAGTAAAAAATATGATATACAGACACACGTGAGTTATACCTTCCAGATACCTTTAATACATCACACTAACCTAACCTAACCTAACCTACTGTATTTATGTGAAGTTATACGTGTATAAATACGTAATAAAATAATAATACAACAAACTACACGAATAATTGTATATATTTCTCGTACTATCAGAAATTATGAATGGCAGTCATTGACGAAATTAGTTCATTCACCTGTATTTATTTTTTCGTTAAGTATTATAAATTTTGTCCGGTATCTATGAAGACTTTAATGTACAGTTGTGTCTTTTAGTATTACTCTACCTGTTCTCTACACATAAGGAACAACTGAAATTAACACTGGGGGTCATTTCACCTAGCACCTGTCATCCCCTGATATAAACTAGCAATTATATATATCTTCAGCTACTTACACCCAGGCTAGTTGACGTGAAGGAGCAGGGAGGTGGAAGGATAAGACACCTGTTGCTATTGGTGAGTTAATGCGCGGACAGGCAAGGAGGCGAGCACAGCACCACACACTACCGTCACTGCCGACACCACCAGTAGTACTGAGTGACTGACACCAACACCACCACTACCACCACCACGGCCTCGCGCGGCACACTATCTCCTGCCTCCCTGTGGCCTGGCATGAGAGAAGAGTTCTCCTCACCCCACCCGCCCCCCTCCCTCCCTCCCTCCCTCCCTCCCCGCCACTGTCCTGCCCCTCTCTCTCTTCCTGTTTTATTTTCTCCCTCTCCCTTTCCTCATCAAACAAACATTTCCAACAGATTCCCACCTACTTCCCACTCATCTCCCCACTCACTCTGCCCCCATCACCCCCCTCCCTACCTCTTCCCTGTCCCCATCCCTCCCTCCGCCTCCCACCACCCCTATATCCCCCTTCACTCCCCACCAACCCCTACATCCCCCCCTCCCGACCGTGAGTGAGTGAGTGAGTGCGTTGTCCCCCTCCTTCTCTCCCACGCCCGTCAGTATAGGCCAGCCCTGACACAAGGTCCTGTCACTACTTATGGCCTTGTTCAGGTCGGGATATCACCTATCGGATCCTGCTGACAGAGCGCTAATGAACCGGATCACCTGATGATTAGCCCCGGCCCCAGCTTATTTCACCTGGTGATTTAAACACACTAACCTAACCTAACTTAATCTAACCCCACTGTTTGATCAGGTGAAATAAACTGGGGTGGTTAATCTTCAGGTGACCCCAATAACAGTAGAGTGGCCTTAAGTAATGTTCATCTGATATCGTTTAGGAAATCACTCACTTGTGTTTACACCTGTACATAGAGACTACAGGTATACAAACGATGCTCCCATAGACACTACAGTCACATAAACAATGTATATACAGTAGACAGTGCAGCCAGGTATACACAGTTAATTAGTCATTTCAATCATTACACCTGAAAGAAAATAATCCCTCAAGCAGAATACATCAATCAGAATTTTACAGACCAGATGAATGAATTACTTTATTGTTGTTGATGAAAGAAATGCTTTTAATGACGTAATGAATGAATGAAAAACTTTTAATGAAGTGAAAGGAATACTTTATCAAGGTGATAAAAGTAATACTGCCTTCAATTAACCCTTATAAAGTCGAGCTATTTACTTAAAACTGTTATTTAAGTGCACTAAATACTTATACACAAACTAAAGTACTTACTAACTACCACCTTAAGTAATTCCTCATAAGGCTTAATTAGTCAACTTTAGGATATAAGAGTATAATGAAAAATATTATCACACTCAAAGGCTGTCATTATATTTCAAAGGCTTGTTATTATACTCGTGTTTTAATACATAGAGGCTAGGCATTATAGTTACTGGGTTAAAATAATACTCAAGGTTTGTTATCATACAAGGGTCTTATCATACTTTATGGGTTATAATGCTCAAAACTCTTATCATACTACAGGAGTTTTATTAATAATCAAGGGTCTTTTATCATACTCCCTAGTTTATAACGCTCAAGGTTTCTTTTTTTATTATACTCCAAGGATTATTTTAGTACTTAGGTGAATTATTAAAGCACTTGAGTGAATTTTTAAAGAACTTGAATAATTTATCAGGATCCAAATCGACTCCAGGGGTAACGCTACTTTTTGGTAGGACTGTACATACGCATATAAGCACATACCTACATAGATGAATACGCAAATATACATACTGTACACACACACACACATATATATACTCACGTAGATACACATACATACATACATACATACATATACGCACAGACACTCAACCGTCACAATAAGTAACAAAAAAACAAAACCAGATTCTTTAGTCTTCGAGAAACAATTATCGATCTTGTCCTGCCTAAAGCAATACCATGACTAGCATTTTATTCCCCCACACACACACTACAGGCTTTATGTTAACTCATTATAAGGGTGAAGTTACCTTAATCTCCCTTAACCCATCCAGGTACTCTCCCTTAATCCACCCAGGTAGGTAATTGTAGGGTCAATTTATCTGTTGTTGTTGTTTTGTTGTTTTTGTTGTTGTTGATGATGTAACAGGTTAGAGGTATACAAGGTAACAATATAACAGGTAGAGGTATACAAGGTAACAATATAAACTTAGTAATGTGGTTTTGTGTTTATAAAATGAAGTCGTATCGTTTATATTTAAATAATAGATTTATATAGTGATTACACACATATATACACACAAACATACAAACACACACATAACCACACCCCCACACACATACAACACCCCCCCCCTCCCCCCACACACACACACGGGCTGGATTAGGTTAGGTGAATCATCCTCACAGTCATAACCAAGAGCGAGATAATTACAGGTATGCAGTTAATTTCTTCCCAATTAATTTACCTGGAATGTGACGTCAATACCTGGATGACTTACGGGTTCTTTCACCTTCAGATACTAACTCCTCTTAATCACACAAACTACCTTACCTTACAATACTGTATTCCCGAATTTACATATGACGAAAATACATTGCTATTATTTTATTTATTTTTTTGTTAGATGTACAATAGCCGTAAAAGGTCTATTATTATTGTTTTACTATTGTTTTGTCATGGGTTATGTTACACAGGTATGGTCGTCTTAGTGTTCAATATCATGCACACCTTGATTGTTGTACACCTGTGAATGTTATACGGGAGACTACTAGTGTTATGCTTTGTTGTCGTTATTGTTATTATTATTGTTACTACTGTTGTTGTTATTGTGGTAATTATTATTATCGTTATCATCACCATCCTCCTCCTCATTATTACTATTATCATCATTAACTATTCTTATTATTATATCGGAAGAGGAGGTTAGGTTAGGTTGTGGTATTGCCTACAAGACACCAACCAGCTTGAATTGCCACCTAAGTCGAGTGCAATACATGTACCGTGATTCTTAAGGCAGTAAATGTATCTATAAATTCTCACTAAACTTAAGCACAATAAATCAATGAACTCAGATGACGTTCAGAACGCAGCAAAAGTCTCAATGATTTCCTAAACTGGTTAAACTCAAGTCAATTTCAAGGTTAATCTGCGTCAGCCGCTCGTCCTAGCCCACCTGTCGAGGCATCTGGCAACTCATGACGTAATAATGTAAACAAACGGACGTCAAAACTTTGTGTGGTTTGTTTACACTTGATCATCATCCTGATAAAAATAAAATGATAAGGATAAGAAAAAGTTGATTAGAAACTTAGTGTACTGTTGTGTTTACCTGGGTTGAGTACAGGTATGAGATAATTACAGGTGTTGAGGCTACACAATGAGGTAATATACTACAAGAAGCTAGTGAGGTGTGACTATTTGGCTACTAAGAGTCCTACAGTTCTCTTCTGTGACTTATTAAGCTTTCCGATGTAGCTTCAACAACTAGGACCACCCCCCCCCCCGCCCCCGTGACCTGACCTAAGACATGTGAAGGTCAGTGTTTAATTAAGGTCAATTACTTTTTTTGTGGGGTCATTTCACTGATACGTTTGTTTTCATATGTAGAGTATAAACCCAACTAGAACAAGGAACAGCTGTGTGTGTGTGTGTGTGTGTGTGTGTATGTGTATGTGTATGTGTGTGTGTGTGTGTGTGTGTGTGTGTGTGTAAGCCATAACTTTATTAAGTAGTCCACACGAACCAGCTTAATTTAATCTAACCATAATTGAGTTGATTAGTTATGGTTAATAACAGATCAAAGCGGCAGAGATATGCTGAACATTTACCCTTATGGTGGATTGTGGTTGATTGAGGGAGATAGTGTGGCTGAATGACCGTCACACACACACACACACACACACACACACACACACAGCATCAGCCTTTTTGATAAAACTTTAAAAAAAAAATAAAAAAAATAAAAAAATCAACCATTTGGGACTGAAACATCTGCCCAGAGAACCAAGACTAGGAGATAATTACCATCCCATCCCAGACTTCCGGAGACACGCCACCTGCTCACCTACACACAAAGAAAGAACTCAGTCAAGACGAGGGATGTGAAAATAAAGACTATCAGTAAATTATATATCTCTTCCTGCTGGCCCGTGTCGGATCCTAGGCGGCAAAGGGTAGTCCTCACGTCTTGTATAAACTGTTACCCTGGGTTACTTGTGTATGTGAGTCTCCCCCATTGCTGTCTGTCTGGTCATAAATTTGCACCATTCATGACATTTGATTGAGATATGAGGTTTTTTTTTTTTTTACACGTGATAATCCCGACTCTCTTACCTGCCTGTGTTTACCTATGAATCTTATCACACCTGTTTTTATGCATTTTTCATTAGTGTGATATTGTTGCCACATCCATTTAAATGCTGTTATCTGCCACAAACCCACCTACCCACCCACCCACCCATCCACACAGCAACTCCATTCCTCTTCTCTCTACTCACACTTCATCTCTAACTCCTCCTCCTCCTCCACCACACCCGCACCTCCATCTCCTCCACCATCACCACCACTAGACAGACAGACAGACAGACAGACCACAGACAGACAGACAGACAGACAGACAGACACAGAACACAGAATATGTTATATTTTTAGCAAAATCGGTTATTTTGCAAAATTCCCAGCATGCATAGTGGTAATATTGCGAAATAACTTACAAACTAGCTAAACAACGTTCACAAAATATGAACAGGACCACTAGATTGTGTATCAATCTATACGAGCCATCCTAACCTAACCTAACCTAACCTAACCTAACCTAACCTAACCTAACCTAACCTAACCTAACCTAACCAAACCTAACAGAGAGACGAACAACACTCAACACTATAATCATTTACTCATAGATCAAACAGTAACGTCACACACACACCTAGATGGGTCACCAGATAAACACAAACAGCCAATTAGAGACCAACTCGTTAAATTACATCCTTCTGGGGGTAGTTTCCTCATTAAACTCTCCTCATCACTCCCTCATGGGCCACTCCTTCTCCGTGTTCAGTCTCATTTTACTGACTTATTAGAAGCGATTAAATTATTGGTCGACCTTGTTGCCAGTTCTCCCAGAATTTATGCCCCACACGTGTACAATATGTTTTACACACACACACACACACACTTACACAACACGTACTGCCTACAAACTTACACAA